CGATTCTTCACCAACACGATATTACCGAGATTCTGGAAAACTTTTTTTTCATGGATGAGGTCATTGCTCCGCTCAGGTACAGTCGTTGTCATGACCAAGGTATTCACGCAAAACGTAGAAACTGAGCGCGCAGTCGCGTAGCGCTCACACCTACTTTCACTCATCTTGCATCTGGAATTCCCTCATACTCTGTGGTAACAGAGTGATTGACATCACCATGCTTAGTCGCGCACGATAAAAGTACATCGCAATCGCGCGATGACTCACCTCGATCGCACCCCTGGAGCTTGTCCGCGCGCGACAAACCGAATCATCGCGCGGTACAATCCCCGAACCACTCTCTACCTAAGCTAGCGACCGCATCAGATCCGCAATTTCATAGAAAGACAACACAATCTTATAGTACAAGGCGCGGCCGTAGTAGCTGAATTGAGCGCACAATGGCAAAACTCGTAGTGCCACAGCCGACTCGACCAGGTTCAGCGTCAGGTCACATTGTGACTGCCTATAAACAAGGCATACAGTAAGACCCATGCGTGAGACACGCGAAGGCGAAATACTAGCCACTGGGTACCCTACAGGAGGCCCGTTGCGGGGCAAGAAGGCAGAGTCAGCATGCGCTGCGACTCGTCCGCTCACACTGCCTTTTTGCCGCGGCCTCCTGTCGGGTACCTTTAGCCACTCCGCGATTGTAAGCCCAGCTTCTACATGCTACGGCTACGCCTTGCTCTGTGACTGCGACTGTACCTCATTCCTTGCCGCAGCTGTCATGTCAGGAAGTGACTCTCCTTTTTTCTTGGACCTTTTGCGCGAATGCGAATCTTTATGTCGACGCTGAAATCGTCATTAGTAAACTTAGAATGACTCGACGGGTAGCATTGGAGTTCATAGAAGGATTGCGACACGCATGCGGCCGCTGGTACACTTAGGGAAGGGAGGGGTGGCGTTTTCCAGAGAGCTCAGTACACCCGGTGGGGTGTGTAAGCAATTCTCATTTCCCTCGCACTTCACTTTCTCTTCCTATACTCAGCCTGCATGGCAATGACTCTTTCTTCCTTGAGTACACTAGCGCCTGCAGCGGTGGTGGCGTGGTGGGTAGCAGCAGTTGGACTGTGTCGTACCTCACGAGTCCCCTACACTCGCAACTCTTGCGAATCAAATATGTACCGATCCGCAAGATCGCACGATCAATACATATCTAATCCACATTCGAGCAGCAAATGATAACCATGAAATGATGCTACATCGAAAACTCGCCGTTTTGCATGTGTTACTTCATTCGCAAGGTTGCTCAGTTGTGATAAAGTCACCAACCTCATCCTTGTCATGGTCTCGTCTACGATGTTTCTTCGACGATTTTCGTCTCTTCGATCCTCTTGGGCTTTTGGGGCTCCTTGGGCTTTTTGGACTCTTCGGACTCTTCGAACGCCTCCTGTCCTTCATACGCGATCTATCCCTGTGCCGTCCACCCTTTTTGCTCCGTCGATCCTTCTTCCTATCTTTCGATCTTCGGTGCTTTCGCTTCTTCGACGACTTTCTTCTATGCCTACTCGGCATTCTGGACCTTCACTGATACTTGAGACAGTACGGAACCAGCAATTGTTTGCAATTCAACTATCCCGCTGCGGCGATGGACACTCAAATGACAACGGGGTAACATTCAACGCTTTTATACCGACCCTAATCAGTCAACAAACACCTTATATCATTTCGCTGCATTTTGCTGCTAACTTCACTTTCATCGTCGTATTCTCCTTCGAGACTTCTTTGATCAGCTGTATCGGTCACTGGCGCCATGCTTGTTTCAGTACAGTCTTTGCCACGACCAAGGTGGATATTATATTGTATTGTGTTATATTGTGTTACTTCCTGTTTGATGTTTTTCGTTTTATTCTCTTGTGTACTGGATTCTTTGTTCCACTCCTTTATTCTCAATCAACTACTGGCTCTTGTGGCGCACCTTTTGTGCAATAAATAAATAAATAAATAAATAAATAAATAAATATCCAGGTCGAGAATATTGAACGCGCAACCACAAAGCAGCCGAATCTGGTGGCAGCTCGCTGTGCATTTCAGAATACTTCTCTTTCCTCGTAGAAACTCGTAACACGTGTGACCGACACTATTTGCAATACCTTCAATAGGCATGCCGTTCACCGCTACAGCGTGTTTCACCTTTACCAGCGCTTTCGATCTTTTGATATTTTTATAAGAAGCCAGCAGCGTCCCTCACACTCCATTACAGGTAGGGCTCTTACGGAAGCTCCACTACAAATTCTTCGTTATGGGCACCATTGTGTAGGTAGAGGTCTAGGCTGCGGAACTCCAGAAGCTGGCCGAGGCAGCTCGTCAGGAGCCCTCGTACCGCGACAATATTCATTTCTTTCATGACATTGCGAATCACCATGATCCGAAATGAGCCCGGTAAGAAATTCTGGAGCTGCGGCAAGATTTCTTACCTCTCTTAGCGTATTCCCCTGGTCGAGCTATAAATGACTGCCACCTATCCTGGACCTTAAATCATCATCTTGATGACGAAATAATTAGACGATCAACTCCAACTCGAAAGTGAGGTCGCCTCCTCCCCGGGTTTTGGCAAAGGAGCATCAAGAAATTTTCTGAGCGTTGAAGACAAGTGGTGGACACTCATGGTAGATATAAGACCGGTCAGGAGTTGTAACAAAAAAGATAAAATTAAAAGCGAAAATTTGGAAAGGTGTTTATTTTATTTATTTTTCAGTACACTCAAAGGTGTGCACAATCACAGGAAATCTATCACGTAGGAAAAGCACTTGAACGATAAGAGGGCTACACGTGGGCTCATCATTTACACTAAAAATACGGACGACGAATATATTGAATGAGTTGTGTTCTCACAGCTGAGGTGGCGGGAAGTATCCAGTAAGATATTTGTTTCATTAGGGATCCAAGGTACGGGCGTAATGGCATAATAACTTTTCGTTCACGAGGCAATGACAAAAAAGCATGTACAAAACATATGTCGTAACAGAGTTAACTGCCCAATAAGATAACCAAGCACTAAGATAACCAAGCCTGAGGCCGCAGCATGTAGGGCGGATGCAGGTCGCATCTCATTAACCTAAACACAGACCCTACCGCTGGCTCAGTGGTGCTTACGAGGTAGTTGACTACTGTGTTGATGTATATTTTATTTCTACGTAAGTGCACTTCTATGTAATTACCGTTTATGCAGTACCACGGCAGAAGGGGCCAAAAGACAACTTGACACGTGGACAAATTGACCGAAACTTAGTCCAAAAGAAAGAACGAAAGAAAGAAGGCGCGCCACCTATAGGAATGTCAAAAAAAATACTCGTGGGATGATTACTTTGAATGAATAATGATCAATTACCAATGCATGAGCCCATATGTAGCTAATATACATCAAAGAATCAACATTAGAAGTATCAGGTGATGTGTTACATTAAGGATCAAAACTCAAATCCAACCTTCTCTATGCTTGAAAATCTGGCTTCTGCAACATCTGTGTTGCAGGACTTTCTTTCCATCTAATATCTGCAATTAAATGTATGGGTCGTGATCAAACTGGTATATAACCTATTCAAAAATCAGACAAGGGAGCGAAAAAACATTAGTGCGGAAAAGCGCAAAAGGCACTGGTTGTGGTACAACGGAGAGACACAGCGCTGTGTGGAGAAGGAAAACGCGAGAACACATGGTACGCGAGTGGAAGTAAGAGCCTTGTGTGTCGCGGCAAAAATGGCAGCGGTTGCAGAGATGAAGTGGTATAAGTTCCCTCGTCGCGCACTTTCAAGTCGCCATAGGTACTACTACTTTTTTCGCTAGGAATCCTGCTACCTCTCTCAAGGAGGGAATCTGGGGACCTAAATCGCGGAACTTGCCTTGAGCCTTTTAATATTCCGACCACAGCAAAGCAAGGGTGGAAGTTATCGTCCTACTATCCTACTATATATAATTCGCTAAGTGTGTCTAACGGTGTTTTATGTGTGTTTGTCCGGAAATTTATAGCGAGGGCACCAGTGTCGCCAGTTGATTTCATGATATGATATAGAGAGTGGGACGGGAACTAGCCTCTTCTAAAAGCGAGAAAGTGTCGGGTGCAGACCAAACACCACAACTGACGACGGCCTCCAAGTAAATCTGGTTAGAAGTTGTTCATAGTGATAGCTGATTTCTGGTAAATGATAGTTGTAATTAGTGACAATCGATAGAATACAACTGCAACAGGCTAATCATTTCATTGGCAGAAAACATTAACATTTTGTGAAGGCCGTCGTCACTTGTGGTGCATGGTCTGCACCCGACACTTTCTCGCTTTTTGAAGGGGAGGGTATTTGACCAGTTTAGCTTGAGCAGGTTTGGCGAATGATACATTTCATTCCTAATCTAATACTAAGAGGGCCAGAAGGAAGTATACCGGTGAACTTTTGAATTTTCGAACAATGTGAATGCAGGTCAAAGATATGCGTGAGTGCTCAGTATTATAAATGAGCATGTTTCACTCTTATTTTGAGGCCAACAATATAACTATAATCACCGCTAAATTATCACAATTCAAGGAAAATGCTGGGTGTTTACAGAGTTGTGATAAATTACCATTCAACTTCGCTATCACGCGCATCCATGACGGACTTCACTGAAACTGGAGAGCCTGCAAAACCTTAGGTCATTTGACTAACATATCAATAATGGTGCAGTACTTTGTGAGCAAATTGGCTGATTTAACACAGGTCCTCCAGTTTTGCTGAGATCTACAGGGTGGTCCAAAATTATGAGGACCGCGTGCGCGCGCAGTCATATCCACTTTTTTCCGTATCGCTCCATTTTCATCTCGTTTTCTGTGCACTATGTGAAAGGGTACAATGTCTTCTTCCTAATGAAACCAAATTTCATGAAGTTCTCAAAACTAGTGAAATAACTACTTCACTTTAGTCAGTCCTCAAATTGAACTCACTAGGGGCTCTGGCACGTTACATCTAGCGGCAGTCTAACCTATCAGGAAGCTCTTATGAGCAACAGTTCAACTCTTCAATAAGTTTGGAACCACCACAGATGGAAAATTCGGGGACTCGAAAGTTACAGTTACCACCAGGATAATTATCAGATGCAGAAACTAGGTCTCCCCTTGTCGACTTTCGTACACCCAAAATGAAAAAATTGATGTGAAAACCCAGCCAGACACTCTAAAGACTCCACATCTGTAGTGGATAGAAAGCCACACGAGTAGTCTACTTGGGACTTTTACAGGACCGAGCACCCAAGAATAAAGCAAAAATCCTCTAAAAAGCGATTTTTCGAGTTCGTTGCTTTCGAAGAATTGTTACAATGGAACCTCCACCTAATAGCTCTAGATTTCTGTATTTCACACCCTGGATGCAAGCGCAAATAAATGCAACACAAAAGTTTGATTCCCTGAAGAAGGCAGAGCAGAAGGCCTGGAAACATTTGGACACGCCTTAGTTGCGTGCCACCGCACGCGCCATCCCCCTCATCCGAAGGCTCGTGTTAACGGGGGAAGTGGCAGATCTCAATTCTATTCTGGAATTACTTTGAGGTAAGAGTTACAAATACTTCCCAGAAGTTGGTCTTGGTCCTCACAATTTTGGACCACCCTGTACAGTGTGATGCGCGCGAGGCAAAACTGGTAGTAGTAGAAGTAGATACGAAAGGTGAAGGATGACATTATATGTTTTGATCGAAACAAGCAAGGTAAAACTGCTTTTGAAGCCCTTTGGAGCTAAGATGTCGGTCAGACTCTGCGATTGCATCGCGCGATGCAGTCGCTCTTGCAATGTGCACAAGCGACGGGCGATTGGCATCGCTCCAAAGTGCGAGCGACGGGAGATTTACCCCGCCGACGACCGATACACACGGCGCCGCTCGGGTAAATCTCCCGTCGCTCGCACTTTGGAGCGATGCCAATCGCCCGTCGCTTGTGCACATTGCAAGAGCGACTGCATCGCGCGATGCAATCGCAGAGTCTGACCGACATCTAAACCTGACAAACTGTTTTTTTTTTCACTTGTACTCCACGTCTTTTGATCGAATTTCTATTACTGTACCCTGCATACACTCCGTTGACATGGACAGACTTCGTTCCCCCTTCTGACTAGATATAGCTTCTACTCACTGTTGTTCTCAGTATGTTGTGAGTAGAAGCTCACTCCGTTGCAAAACTATACGACATACCCCAAATTTTGGGTTTCTGAAGTTACGAGAAACTAGCACAAAAATGGGTAATGCCATTCGATTCGGCGTGTAAAGAAACCTACAACAGAGAATCTTCAAGCAGTTTGTCAACTTCCAGAAATCTAGGGTCAAAAAATTGAAAAAATGGCCGTTGCAAAACTATACGACATAGCAGAAATTTTGACAATTTTTTTACTTCACTAAAATTTTTCCCTAGCTACTCCACAGTCGTAATAGTACTGTATTGTAGATATGCAGGCCACGGATTCGCCGTGCCCTGCATAGCACCTTGAGGAGCCGATCTGACATGTTTTCTACCAATTTTTGTATGCCTCCACGTGGATCCGTGATCGTAATCTTCGACT